AGAATGGTTTGGGTTGGAAGGGACCTCAGAATTGTCTGGAACAGAAGGTTTGAAGTAATGTTTGTGCTGAGAGTGCACATTTAAAAAGCGTCTATGGAATTTGGGATCATAAATCTTAGAGGAATTCATGAGGGCTTCTGCAGCTAAAACCTTGTCTACTTAGAACTTCCTTCCTTCTCTTTATCTGCTTAGCCACCTAGAAAAAAAATGGAAAGGTTTGTGATCTGTGGGAGTGTGTCAATAATTCCAAGTGAGTGGTAACAGAAGAAAATAGCAGGACTTCACTAATGGTACTGTCTGAATGGTGATTAGTTTTTGAATCTGGGATATTTTTTCTTATTTGCTTCCTACTGCTTTATAATACCAAAGAGCAACAACTTTGTCAAGTGAGACTTCATTTACTGACCTGGGGTCGAAGTGTAAAGAATAGAGCAATTGATGTAGTTTTTGTGGTGTTTCTAGTAACTTGAATTACTCTATATTGAGAATAAATGGAGTTGTAGAGGCATATTCTATATGTCCCATCTTATTTTACACTTTGCGTTGCTTAGCTTTGTCTAAGTTAAATTTATGGTAAAGGTTAGCTAGTGTCTCAAATCCATTGAAGCAGTTGCTGCAGGTTGGGACCAGAGTCTTTTGATCTAAAAATGATTTTCATCTTGTCCATTTCTTATCTCTGCTGAATAGAGTAGGATAAGTTAGCTCAGGTGTGGGTTTGGTAGTAATTATGCATGGCAATTGACAATATTACATAATCAATGTGTTTCATATACACAAGGGCTTCAACTAGGAAGTCAAACACTGTGGCAGCATTTAACTTTGTGTCAATAGAAAAACATACTGAATTTACTCTGTTTAATTTTTTTATTATTGTTATTATTTTGTTCTCCGATGGATTGCTTGTACTTCATATGTCTACTATAATGCACAACCATTGCTGTCACTTAGGGATTATGAAAAGCTCTCTTTTTTTTGCAGATCATCCGGTGAATGAATTTTTGGATCTGTTCAGTCGCCACATGCTTCCCCATGCAATAGATGAACCCCACACTGATGCAGAATCAACTCAGACTGAACCCTGTACTTCAGACTCTGTGCAGGATTCATCTGAATATTTAATATTGGATCCTTTCTTTCCAAACTTGGTAGAGTTTGAAGAAGAGGAAGACTGTGAAAATACTACTGATGTTACAACTCCTCCAGCTTTGCAGTTCATCAATGGAAAGCAACAAGTTACTAGTGCACCTAAGAGCACAAAAACTGAGGAAGCCAGAAGTGACCAAATTGAAAGCGTTGCACATTCCAAAAATGTAACTTTGTCTCAAATCAATGAAACAAACACATTTATAATACCTGAAACTGAAGCTTCTGGTACTGTGCAACCAAGCAAAGCTGGAGAAGTAATAGGGGCATTTGAAGTTACACAACCGACAGCAGATGTTGCAATGTTAGAACCTGTTTATAGTGGTGAATCAGAAGTTGCCACAACAGATAAATCCATAGCCATTACTTCTTCATATGAGCAGTCTCTGCAACAAAATGAGACCGTAACATGGCATGGAACCGAGGAGAGCTCTATCAAAGATACAAAAAACTTGCTTTTGATTACTAGCGAATCTTCTGGAGAGGGCTCCACTGACTCTGATTTATCCAGTTCTGTCTTCTCAGAAACTGTGACAATGTCAAGAAAGGAAGATGATGGAAAAAATTCTGGTACAACTTCTGCTCCTGATGCATTTACTGTGGAAAGTTCTGCTGTAACTGCTTCTCTGGATGCAGTTTTTAATACTGCTACGGCAGGCGTAGGTGTGAAAGACCTTATTCCAGAAAACGCAACGCCTGCTCCAGGAGATCATTATAAATCAACTATTAAGCTTAATGCAAATTCCCCTGTTGAAAATCTTCTGGAAACAAGTAGCCATACAGCAAAGCCTGAGATGAGTGCTGCTTCTTTTATAGTTCTAGAAGGCTCTGGAGATGTAGAAGAGGACATCACCATAACTTCAGCCATGACAACAGAAACAGCAGTAACAGAAACACTTACAATGAAAGATATTTCTTTGGGCTCTAGCACAGTACTGCCAACAGAAACTTCTGTAACCATTTCAGGAATCACCTCTGCTTTGCCTAGAGGAATAAGCACTCTTTATTCTGCTTTTGATAAAAGTTCTGAAGTAACTGTTGCCACCAATTCTATGTCAGAGTTTATTATGGAAAAAGTAGTCGCCAGCTCTCTTGTAACTGAAAAGAATATAGAAGATGAAAAAGACATACAGACCACTGCTTATTCAAGTCAGGAGAATTCAGCTACTGCTGCAGAGGAAAGTTTGGAGTTGAATGAACTTGGGAGCACTACTAGTGAAATCAGAACTGTAAGTCATGAGCCCACTCTGCTCGGAAAAGCAGTACCGGTAACGGGTACCATGAGTTCTGAAATCAAAAAGGTCACTACCATTCCTTTCTTGAGAGAGAAGAAGCTCTTTCTAAATGAAGGATCAGCAGAAGAACCAGCAGACATATTTTCAGGGGGTCCCACAAGAAAAGTGGTAAGTACTGACTCCCCGTTTATTGATCCAGGTTCTGGAGACATAGATGTTATCACTGAGTCTGCTACTTTGACTTCAGTTCCATTAAGGCCTATCACTGAAACACAAACAGAAAAGTATGAAGGAAATGTTTACAGGACAGATGATGCTTCACTGAAGAATGCAAGCACAGAATACGAAGAACATGCAAGAACAGATGAATCAACGATATCACTTTCAAGTACTGCGTCATTTGGCTTGACAAAGGAGTCTGGAGTTGCAAGTCAGATGTCCCAGGATGTGTTTAGTACAGGAAACCCAGGAGAACAAAACCAGGAAACAGAACCAACTTACACAGTTCCTTCTGAAATAAAATCTAGTCCTGGTTCTAGAAAAGATATAATATCTCATGTTGCACCAGGAGTTAAAACTGAAGATGTAGAAACAAGTGAGGTAACATTATCTCCAGAATCAGTGGTTAGTAACAGCCCTCATGACATCATGGTGACACACACTACTGGCGGTATAAAAGCAGTAGCTGAATCTACAGAAAGCAAAAATGCAAAAGTTAGTTCTTCAACTGTCTCATTAGGGAAGATTCTCCTGATTGAGCATGGCTCTGGAGAAGAATTCAAAGGTGACAGCAGCACCACAAAACTAATGTCTAATGGACCTACTGAAGAAATACTTGGAAGTCATTTGTCTTTCCTTGATCAGGGATCTGGAGAAGCAGACACATTCATTGAATCATTTGCAAAAACAGCATTTTCACCCACTGGGACACCAGAAACAGGAGACAAATATGATGAAAAAGTTGTCAGCACACCATCTATGGATCATGCCTTCACTACCGAACCTGATCAGCTAGTCACAAGTACCGAAAATGAAGTAACCACAATGGGAACTGTAACTGATTTAAGAATGGAAGAGAAAACAATTGATGAACTGACAATAAGAGCTTTTACTACAAAGATTCCTTTGATGGAAGATATACATTCTGGGGAAGACAGGCCAAGGGAAATTTCACCAAAAGCTACAGAATCTTCTGAAGAAACAACAACAGACCCATTCTTTAAAAGTGCACAGGCTAACTATGAACATCCAGGATTTTTAAATGTTCCAACTGTCAGTCCGTATTCAGAAGAAAAGAAATTAGAAACTGACTCTGTTAAAATTCTTTTGCCATTTAATGATGACAGAGTAACTGAGCCTGTAAAGATTGAAAGGAAATACATAAGCTCTCCAGTTACAGATATAGAGCAAGAGGAGGAGTTGGTACAAAATATTTTCCCTACGAAAGATACTCCCAGATCACTCCTGACACCTAAAGAAGAAAAGCTAACAAGTAATGAGCTCATTGGTGATCCACTATTTTCAGGACAAGGATCAGGAGACGACCTTGCTGTTATTCCTTCTGTAGTGCCATTGGCTGTCAAAGAAATCATGAGTACTTCAAGCCCTCAAACTTCTCATCCTGCAAGTATGGCACCCAAACTTTCAACTGACAAGACACAAGACTTTGAAAGAGGAAGCACTGACTCAAATGATGAAGTTAATGAAGGAGTTACAAGCGCTGTAACTGAGCTGCTGTCAAAAACAGAACACCAGTTCCTCAGCTCAGTGATCACCAGTTCTCCAGCTTTAGCAGAAGAGAGTTCAAAGAGCTTCAGCTCTAAAGAGATTAAAGAGATGACACATTATTTTGTTGTGATTGAAGAACCTCACAACAAGGAAACTGACTATAGGAGAGGAGAAAATGAAACATACAGGACAACAGCTACTTCTAAAGCTGTTTCTCAAGAGGAAACTTCACATTTGCTGATTGAAGATGGTGTAACTCCTGTTTCTGTAATACTGAGTGGAACTCCTAATCTTGAAACAGAAGAATCACTTGTAACATCAACAACAAAAATGCCAAGCAGAGTATTACCTGAAGGCTCTGGAGAAGGATCTGGCTGGGTTGGTGTTTTGGATTCATCTTCTCCTGATATCTTTACTCATTTGTCAATACCCCCTGTGTCAAAAGTAGAACTAAATGCTTCGTCTATTGTTCCTGGGGAAGTTTATTCTGAAGTTATGACAACAGAGGCACCAACAGATAGATCACAGACTGTGATCACAGGACTAGCATCCATTTTTACAGAAGAAAAAGAGATCGTGGCAAGTCCATCTGCTGTTCAACCAAAGACAGCTACATCAGAAGAACTAACAAGTGATACTGGGATATATGACAAAATTATTCCTGTGATTGATGATAAAAGAGGTGTTATACTGAATGTTTCTGTTTATGGTGATATTACACTAATTGAAGAACGACTTCAAATCCCATCAGAAGAAACAACTATTATAGACATGGATCACTCAAAATCAATGCCTGAGGATATAATAAGTGTGCAGACAATGCCAAATCCTGTCAAGGAATCAACACATGGCAGTGATGATATCATGACAGCTGAAGGGGAGAAATACGATTCAACACCTAAATTTTCCATAACCAAAGAGACAACACTTGGATCTGGTGATAGCCTTTCTTTGACTACTTCCAGTCAGTCAAGTAGTGAATCAGTAACAGCTGGGCACAGACCAAAACCAGATGACAAGGATTTGGGTTCAGGGACTGCCATGAAGTTTGTGACAGAAACTCTCATCACTACTGAACTCTCTGAACTGGGCATTTTCCTTCCTACAGTACCATCACTGGCAAGCCCTCATGTGCCTCATGAGTCTAAACACGTTGTAACAAGCACAACAGAAGACACCTATGAGCTGAATACTTCAGCAAACAACCGAGTAATAGCAGATCACAGTGAAACAATCTTTGTCTCTGGCTTTTCTGGAATGGGCCAAGAAAACCTGGATGATAAGCAGTCTGCGGTTCCTTCTCTTACACCAGTTTTAACTACTGAGGCAGAAAAGGCTTTGACAACTGACCTGCGTGATGTAAGTATTGTCACCACACAGCATACATCCCAAGTGACAGCTGTATCATCTAGCAAAAATGAAGAAAAGCATCCTACAGTATACACAAGCACAAAGTCTGCATCGGCAGAGTATCCAGAAACAGATTCAGTGAGTTTTTATTCTATACCTCAAACTCCTAAGTCCTCAGTGACTGTTCAGTTAGTTAATGGAGTATCTGAGTATCCTCAGGTAATCATTCCAAGTACACCATCATTATCAAAGGATTCAAATCAGTCTGATCATTCATCAAAAGGAACCTTCAAAGAGGTTAGTTCTGATATTGCGGCAACGTATAAACCACCCACTACAGAGCTTCTCGACAGAACAGAGTCTTCTCTGCTGGAGTTTTCTCCCAAGCCTGTTTCAGGAAGCACAACTACTGAAAGTACTCCTCTCTTTACTAGACTTGTAACAGACAGGATGGAGGAGACAGAGACCTCTGTAACTGATTTGGCTGTTGAGGAAGAAGCTACTGTTTCTGGAGACTCTCCATCAATACATATCTTCCCTACTGCTTTTCTGAATTTTGGAGAAAGAGCAAGCACAGATGTTCTGAAAGGTAGCACAGTAACAGTTGAAGCTTCCTCAGGGAGACTGAACAACCCCCGTCAAGAAGATGACAGGAGTACTGAGAGAGAGATCCCATGGCTTTTTTCCACACCTGTTTCAGATTCACCCAGTAGTATTGAAAGTGAAGTATTTAAACCTGACCAGGAAGCAGTTACAATGCTAGCTTCATCTTCACAACCTTTGGACAGAAGCACGGAAACACAATCAGCTTTGTTTGGTCCAGAGGAGATCACAACAATTTCTTCTAACATTGCAACAAGCAGCACTGCCCCTGGAAACAGTCAATATCAAAATGAGCTGTCAACAATAAGCTCTGAGGAGCCAAATACTCTTGAACTTGTAACTTCGTCATTTTCCCTTCCGGAAGTCACTAATGGATCAGATTTCCTGATTGGCACCAGTGTGGGTTCAGTTGAAGGCACAGCAGTGCAAATTCCAGGTAACTTCCAAATATGATCACTGTCGTATATGTTTGTTGTGATACTTGTAAATGTGTTTCTTAACTCTGATAAGAGGTATGACAATCAGAGCACCATGTGAAATAACACAGAACTTGAGAGCCTCAAGCTGTGAAATCAGCATGACTGTAACCCATACAAGGTGAAGGAGGATGGGGTTACCAAAACTCAAGTTTAGTGACTTTTCCTGAGTGTTTGCATCATGGAGCTCTGGATCACACTTCAGGTGACTGGCCATTCTAAAAGACAGGAAGGTAACATTGATTGTGGTAGAGAATTCAGCTGTAATTATTTAATTTTTTAATTTCCAGCAGATAATTTTGTCGGATAGCTTTTTGGTGTTGGCATGATGATAGTACTTGTACAATTGCTTTATAGGTAGGGTTGTTTTACAACATCTTGCAGTTGACTTAGAGAGCAAATCTAGTGCGCATTTTAGGATCTGAATATCCTACAAAAATTAACTTCTCTTAACTTACAATATAACTTTCCAGACAAGAGAAAACTGAGACTTCACATTTTCAGCCTGTCTGTAGCTTTAACTGGTTGATACGGTGTCTGTCTCTTATAAATTACAGATCTTTTTGTTAGACATCACTTGCCACATTTTGTTTTCCATAATGGTTATTAGGCACCATTTCACCAAATACACAGATGATGCAGGTAGGGTCAGCATAAGTAACGTTGCTTCAATTCATATTTTATCTAGATATAGCTGAGGAAAGAACTGAACTGACTTAATTTTATAGGTTTTTCTATTATTTTTCCTCAAATAATCCAGGTAGCTGTCAATTTGAAAATGTTTACTTGCAAAATATCCAGTCTGTATACCCATTTTGTAAGTTTTCAAAGCCAGTGCATTCTTCTTGTATCCCAGAAGGACTGTCTTCATGATTTTCCTCTAACTCTGAGTAGCTAATACTTACAAATGATTATCTAGTGCATACTTGTTTGTGTGAGTGATTGCCTCTAGGCATTACATCAAATGCAAATATCTAAGTATCTAAACTCAATTGAAATAAACATCACTAGAAGGCATAAAGCTCTGCAAGAAAAAGCTATTTAAACGAAAAGTCCCATAACAACTGAAGATTTCACAGCAGGTAAGCTTTTCTCTTAATGTTTAGTTAGTTATGAATGTATTCAGTATCTTTATTTGTATTTTTGAAATGTATTTTTAAGAAAGATACGTGGGAAATATGCATGTGTGAAAACATCCTTTCAAAGAAATAAGACTTTGTGGGGATTGATTAAATATAACAAAGTGAAACAACAGCAGCTAGCCAGTATGTTCTGTGTACCCAATCATTCTACATAAACTAACCCTGTTCAAATTAAAAAAAAAAAAAAAAGGCATTTTCCATTCATTTTGCTTATGTTTAACTGATTTCAGCTATAATTAATTGTCATGTCATGCAAACTAAATCCTCAATAGAATATCATGACTGCCAAACATAGTACAAATTGCTATGAAAAAATGTAATTCTGAAAATTATTTATACTGGTTCATAATAAATGCCATGTTGTTAAAGTTGAAAATAGCGATGCCTGAAAATAAGCTTTACTATTTTACAAAACTCTTTTCTGCTCAGTAGTCTGTCATGTACATAGAGTTTCTGTAACTACAGTAAAGCCTGCAACATCAATGCAGAAATGAAGAAAGATTTCTTCTTCCAAAACATCCAAAAGATACCAGTTCCTTGAAACAGAGTCAATTTTGTTTTTCTTGTTTAACAGGCCAAGATCCATGCAAAAGCAATCCCTGCCTTAATGGTGGTACCTGCTATCCACGTGGTTCATTTTATATCTGTACCTGTTTGCCAGGTTTCAACGGCGAGCAGTGTGAATTAGGTAAGCTGATGCCATCTAGGTACTGATTAAGTCTAGTATTAAGTTTTTATACATGAGATCTGCAGAAGTGGTGTGTTTTGAAATTGAAGAATACATAGACATTTGAAAAATTTTACAGTGAGACCTTACTTAAGAGAACAATAAAACGAAGGAGGTCCACTTACCCCTTTTCTCTCTCCCCATAAGGGCACAGATGTTTACGTACACAAACAGGATAATTGTAAATGAACTACATGACCTAGAATTCATAACATTAAATTTGTAAATACATCAAATAAAATGAAATAAACATTAATATTTGGGATAGTTCTTAAGAGCTTTGTGTAATTATTTGAAAGGATGGTATAATAAACTAATCCCAAATGTGACTGGGTAGCTGAGCACTGAATGCCAGCTTGATATTTTCTCAAGGAAATTGTAAATATGATCATAATCATATACATCTTTGGCATAAATTAGTATTTTTATAACTTTTCTAGCTGAGGACTTCTTCAAGCTGCCTGTGACATCTGCATTTACCTGCTATGACTGTGAGTTTCAAGAGACTCGCTAGTACAGTTCAGAATAACCAGCTTTTCATTCCAACCAGCAAGCCAAATTATGATAAAAGTGGTAGTTTGGCTGTTTAGTTAGAGCTGGTTTATGCTTTTGAAAAGTTTTAACTTTCATGCCCTAATAAATACCCTGAACTTGCCTGTTACACAGTTGCCTGCCAAATTTGAAAGAAAAAAACTCATGCAATGTTGCTAAAATGAGTTCAACTCATCATATATAGCTTGGGAGAAAAAAACCCAACCCCACCCAAAGGTTCATAACAGTGCAGCATAATTGTCAGGATTACTGTGGTTTTATTTGTGTTCTGCAAGACAGTATGTGATTAAAAAAATAACTGTCCAGGTTTTTCTCTCCTTTTCTAGCTCATGTTGATGAGTTGCTAGTTCCCTAGTGGGTTGTTGCTGGTAGATATCAAGTTTTAGGTGTTGCATCTTAAATCTTCTTCTTTGACAAGGAACATGACATCCCCTGGTTGCAAACCAGAAGTCAGAGATAATAATTTTCTTTTTTGTTTTCAGATTACAAAAGAATAATCTGGCCACTTCTTGTGTCCTAGAAATCTTAGTGGCATATTAACGGATTGGAGTGGGACACTGCATGGCCAGTCAACATATAGAAATATGTTCTGTGATGCTTAAGAAAGTAAACCTCAGCATTTTTAGCTCTGAATTCAGGAGTATTCTGGATATAAGGCATAAAATGTTGACTTAGAGTCAGGGATATTCTGCATAAAACATTGACTTGACAGCTTTCCAAATGACTGGAAAAAATAAGACCTAAAATTTGAAAAGAAGTAATATTTTTAAATAAATAAATAAAAACCTTTCACATGGTGCAGCAATTATTCCTAGGATTACACAACTGTTTGTTGATTTCTAGATATGTTTAACTTCTCTCTTATATTTTAATAGTCAATCACTACCAGCAGTTCACTTTGGACTAAGATATTTGCAAAATCTCCATTGAAGTTTAAGCTGTGATTATTTCAGAGGAACAGCACTCATTAGAAAACACCACATGATTTTTATAAAGAGACGTACTAGCTTATAACCTGTGCACAAAGTACATGCACAAAGTAATTATATTAAATGAACTAGTGCTCCAATTTAGAAGGCGAAGACAAAGTATTTTAGTAGCCAGAGGAGTGGGGAAAAGAAATGTTATTTGTTTACTCTAGAGCCATAGGCTCAGCAGTTAGCCTGTACAGGACTATGAATGTTACTATCTGATTGGTCATTTAGTGAGATTGTCTTTATGATGCTTTGTTTTTATCTTGATGAGATTAGACAAGGAAGAAATCAGAAATCAGAAACAAATAAGATGCCAGGGCATGCTGCTCTGCAGACTTAAATTAGCAGTGTGTTTGATAATATATGATAAGATTTTGAATATTTGAGATTCAGAAGATATTTGAGGTCTCCACTACTTGATAAGAGTTTTTTTGTGCCATAGTCATACACTCAAGTCAAATTTTCCACCAGTACGGGAAAGTACTACAGGCTGCACAGTATCACTTCTTTCTCAGCTACACAATGAGGGATTCAAGCTCTAGATTTTAGAAATTAACTCAGGAGTCAGAGTGCAGGATATAAAATTGTGGATCAGTAATGTCATATTTCCTGAGGAAACTGCTTCTTGGCTTGTGGATGAAGAGAAATGATGGTTGTGCACAGTGAAATCAGTTATCATGCAAATAACTGGTCACTTGAATCTTTTGCAATACTTCATGTTTCTGGATTGAACTGGTCCTAATAATAAGTATGACTAAGGCTGAAGAGCATTTCCCTTCTAGGAGGTGGGTGGATTATAAAAACATTTTTATCTTTATGTTGTAGATATTGATGAATGCCAGTCTAACCCATGCCGGAATGGAGCCACTTGTATAGATGGCCTCAATACCTTTACTTGCTTGTGTCTGCCAAGCTATATAGGTGCTCTCTGTGAACAAGGTAAGGTGTATTCTTTACTTCATGGTGATAGAGGTCATCTGTTTCCATTTCAACACCCTTCTGGAGTAACTAGGCAAAGCCTCCTAAAACCGAGAGGGTGGAAGAAACTGTCAAAATCTGTGGGAAGTCTTCAGTGACGAGGAGAGAATATAATTTTTGAGTATGTTAGACTCCCATGATTTGTGGCTCAGGACTTTTTGTTTAAGGTTACATCTGCACTGTCTTTTGCAGATGGATGAGAGCAAATTCTATCCACATGCTAACCTGACTGGAAGTCACGTTACTGCTGTACGGAATACAAGCTGTTATATTGGGCAGTTTCTGTGTCAACATAACAAGAGCCATACAGTTTTCAGATGGCTCCAAGGCAAGCCATCTTGTTCCTCCTGGCTTGTAAACTACAGGAAAGGCAAAAAACAAGGTGGTCTCATTACTGTAGTGATGTTAAGGGGATAATGAGTGGGAGTAGAGTTAGTCTTTAACCCAGCTTCTGTCTTAAAAAACTATATACAGTGTGAAGGACATATCAGAACTCATCACTTCCAACAAGCATCGCTGGAAAGTAGAAATAGTTTAAGGAATATGCCAGATTATATATCCATCCACTGGGGACCATAGGCTTGACAACTTCATCCCAGAATTTTCAAACTGATCTGTGATTATTTTAGGAAAAGTAGGTGCAGGATCAGTATTACAAGGAAGTTGTAAAAGTCTTTCTAAACTGGACAGCTGAAATCAGATTAAACATCCAAGTCTCTGTAATTGTTAGAACACTGCCTGCAAGAAATCCCACTGTATTTACAGAAATATTTACACTGAAATGCTTACTCAATATGTGCATGTAGGAGAAGAAATAGGGTAGCCAAATCTGTTCACATTAATGAAAGCATTTCCATAGGAAAAAGAAATGGTGTTTTAAAGTGTACTTTCTAAAGCTTATGAAAATGCTTTTCTCTTTTTCTTCAGCTAATTGGTTTTGGTCACAGGTGAATGAACTAGACCTTTAATTAATATTGTGTATCTTCATCTTTGTTTCTCATCTTGAAAGGCAGTTTGCAAACTCTTTCAGCTCAACCTATACAGATTTGTTTGTTAGAGCTGAAAACTCTCAAAGCTGACCAGCTCCAGCACTTTTCACTGTTTAGCTTTTTCAGTAATCTGGCTGACCTTGTAATTTGAAAGGACTTTCTGAATCTGTTCTCCAAAATTATAAGTTGACAGTTTTTTCACAACAAAAGGTATAAATGTTCTCATTCCCTTCCTCCTCCCCTTCAGTTGAGCAAATCCATAGTAGCGAGTGGCTCGGAGTACCATGGTAGCTTTAAGCTGCTTTTTATGACCAACCTGAGAGCACATTTTAGGTGGTTAATGGGAACATTTCCTAGTTTGTCAATCAGAACCAGAGCCCTGCTCACTCAGCTTTGGAATTTAAATTTCCTCCACTTAAAGTCCTGCAGTGGTTTGGGACTTGGGAAAAGCATTTAGTGCCAAATTTCCACTCCACCAGACAAAATAAAACTGTGTTGGCGATTCAGACACGGTTGTCTGGCAAGCAGGCTTTATTTCAAGGCACCAGTCCTGACCTCACTAGATTTAAAGACCAGCCAGAACGACAGAATGCGTACCTCAGTGCCACAGGAAAGGTGGAGTTGAGCACACCGAGATTATATTTCATTACTCTTTTTTTTCTTTTTCTCCAATATATACTATTCATTTTAGAAAGCTTCAAAAAAAAGTCAAGCTGAAGGGCTTTCTAATGCTCAGTGCTGAGTATTCAAAATGCCATGGAAGGGAATGGAAGCAGCGAGCATGCATTGCCTCTGGAAATGAAGCTCAAAGTAGGAGACAACTCCACAGCATAGTGGTCCCACAACACTGGTGTAGGAAAAATGAGAGCTCAGAATTTCACCCAAATACCCCTGTGAGATTTTTCTAGATTAAGGGATCTTCAGTTGATATATTACACCTATGTCAGCATTAGGAGGGGATGCGACCAGAGGACAGTGCAGCTGCACATCAGGGAGCTCCAGCAGGTGGTAGAAGTTAGAGGAGCCTTCAGGGTGATCTAACCTAGGGTGAGGAAATCAGTCCTGAGACTCAGTGAGCTGTAATTGGCTCCCTGACAGCTGTTTTTCTTGCCAGGTGGAAAGAGTTCAGCAGACAATCTGAGCCCAGGAACTTCTTCGTGAAGAGAGCTAAAGTTGTCTGATGTTAGGAATAGAGCAGCTGAGGGTGTTTCCTTGTTGAACTAAGTTGGTAGCTCAGTAAGCCAGCATTGCTTCTGGTTCAGACTAGGTTAAATGTGAGTGGAGTACTTCTGCTAGATAATACTCTCTTTTGCCCTCCACATGTAACTTTTCAAAGTACAGATGCATATTCTGCATGCCACTTGTTGACATTTGAACATCACTTCTTAAAATATCCCAAAAACACTTTTTGAAAGGGTAACTGCAGACTACAATAGATCTTGATGCGAGTCTTACCGTGGCGGAGCCATCAGTCTTTCCACTGGCATACCTCTGTGAAAAGCCCTTATGAGAGCTCTCAGTGTCCAGATAAGAGAGCCCAGAGCTCAGATCATCTCAATTTTACTGCCTGAAACGTTGCTTTGCCAGCTCCATGTTTGGGGAAAGAGGAGAGGAGGGTTGTTTGATGTCCTGTCTCACACTGGGCTGGTAGAACCAACTATAAAGAATAGTTCCCAGGGACCAGTGGTGCATTATCTGACCATCTGATTTGTGATGAGGAGTACCTTACTTCATGAACCATGGGAAACAACAAAATGGTAGAGACTTGCAATTTGAACCTAAGTTTCAAGAATAAGAGTTATTCATGAGAACTGCATAAGCACCTGTTCCTTCCTTGGTTGGCTAGACTTTCCTTTTCTTTTTCTCCTTTTGCTGTTCTAACTGGTGTCTACCTGCTTTCAGGAACAGTGTTTGTGTTTTAAACTTCAAGTTTGGCTTTCTCCACTGCAGGATCTCCGCAGGCGTACCTAGGCTAGCCTGTTTACCAAATGCAGCTGCACACATGGACCTGTGTGCCAAAATGGCACACGTGTTTGTTATGGGACATGCCTCCTTGGGATAAATCAACCAGCTGTTCTCTTCCAGGTTCTGAAAACAAAACAACTCTGTTTTTTTAAATCATCGTATCAGGAACAATGTTTTTTTTATAACCCAACTTCATTGTTGAAATGTCTGTGATTACTCCAGTCTCATTTGATTCACTTTGTTCCCAGGGCTTGGTAGCTTGGGATGGAAGTATTTGAGAAGGGCTCAGTGCAAAGATACTTTCTGAAAACAGATGGTCTCTAATTGATATCTTTCAGCTGAGAGGGGATTATTCTGAATATTTACCAGAGAAATGATTTCTCCTCAAGATGTGTGGGCTAATGAGTCTCAGGCATTTGTTCATTAGCTGAAGGCTGACACTCACAGATACAATTCACAGCTGAGTAAGACTCTCATTATGTTCTAGTACCTGTGTTTCAGTCTTTGTTTTCTTTAAGCCTCTTATGGAATTTCTTTAAAGACCAGGGAGCTATTGTCAGCAGCTTATTGCAGCTGTTGAAAAAGCTGTACCTATCTATGTATTAAACCTACAGAGAACTTTTTTTTTTTCAAAGCTGTATTTAGAGATTTTTTTATACCTATACAATTGCAGTTACAGAGAACAGAAACTGTGTAAGTCCTTGCACACATCACTGAAAAAGCCTGTAAATTGTCATAAATCTTAAGACTAGTCAGACAACTTCTAAAACACCATAAATATGGCAAGCAGTGTTTCAGTCTTTCCATCATGTTCTGGAATAAGGTTACGGAAAACTGTGATTACCTCCCTGGATAAGTATACGATGAACATGAAGTATTGTATTCAGTAAGTGCTTGTACCTATTCTGCTCACAAGTGATCGGGTCAGAAAATTTACAGCCATCTGCAATTAAACTTTACTGGTTCAGTAAAGGCATTAAAAACTTATACTCATATGGAGTCCTTACCCTTTCAGCTTTGTTAATGTAGTAAGATACACACATTCAGGACAAAGCACTGCAGAGATGGAACAGTCCCCACATTTTTACTTGTCTGGTTTTCATTTTTCATCCTCTAGCCTCCTTACTTGCCTTTTCTCCATTCCTTTTCCCCCTCTTCTCATCAACCTCTCCTCTCAAAAACAAACAATAAAAATTCTCTTTTTTCCCTTCTAAAAATCCCAGAATCCTAGAATGGTTTGGGTTGGAAGGGACCTCAAAGCCCATCTAGTTCCAACCCCCCCTGCCGTGGGCAGGGACACCCTCCACTAGCCCAGGTTGCCCAAAGCCCCATCCAACCTGGCCTTGAACACTGCCAGGGAGAGGGCAGCCACAACTTCTCTAGAAAAAGTTTCTAGACAAAATCCTATAAAATCCTATGTATTTTATAGCCATCAGCCCTATCTTTTTCTGTATTTGTAGATTTGGGCTACAAACAGGTGCAGAAGTTGTTATTAAACTTTTCCTTTTTGGAAAACAACATGCCATCTTGGATAGGAGGGAGGAGTTGTATGTGCACTGCAGTGCCTGCATTTCAATTAAGAGTACCTATGTCAGTGTTTGGCATCCCCTATCTTAAGAAGAGAAATTTTATTATTTATGATTCATGCTCAGGCCATTATATCTCATTCTTTGAACCCAGTCTACAAGGTTTTGTGTTTTCAAGCCTCTTTGCCTCCCCCACGTGCCTTTCAGCAGATCTCTCGAATCGTGACTTCTTCCCTAGCAGACGCCAGGGAAGGCTTGATTAGACTAGCCTGGAAGTGCTCTCTGGCCACAATCTTCTCAAGATGCAATGCTGCTTGTTATTATCTGACTTCTTTCCTGTGGGACAAGGGAGTCCCTGAACAAGATGAATAATAAAACCTTAAGTGCCTTCACAAAGGACATAACACTGTTAGTCAGCATTGTGTGGTTAAACAAATGTTCTAGAAAGCAAAAGGCAGACTAAACTTCAAAATGGCCTAGACACCAGAGATTAAAGCTGTATCTGCAGCCTGCACCTCATACAGACTACAAAGAGGGAAAAGATAAAAAACTAACAAGTTGGTAATATAGATTACATTCCTTTTTCATAGCTGGGATTACTCAAGACACAAGCAGTTTTCTACAGCTTAACTTGTTGAAAATAGAAGAGAGATAATCAGTGTAGGCCCTATTATGCCTTTGTATTTGCTACCTTTATGTCCATACTGATGACTTTTAGAAAGCAATTTTGATACCAGACTCCTAAGACAATGACTGCTGTGTTATTAGTGTTGTCAGCAATTGTCAGAGAAATTCTGGTAAGCCTCCGAAGTGATAGGCTTGCACTTCTAAATCCATTTACGTACATGTAATTCTAGTTTTTATCTTGGAAGATTTAAAAAGTTTTAAAAAAATGCTTTCATGCTTCAGGATGTGAAAGGCCTCTTCCTTCCATGAATTAACCACCCTTGTGTTGTGAAAAAATTATTCCATGATTGTCTTTCCAGTGGTAGCTGCTCAAACCTAAAAAATATCATAGTTAAAGAATTTGCAGTAATATGTCGTTGGCATATTCTGTAATATTTGGCTTTTTCTGTACTAATGGCGAAAGAGCCCCTTTGGCCTAAGCATATTATTGACTATATCGACTTTATTTCTTATTTACTGAAAATAAGAAATCTTATTTCATACCCAGGAAAGGCAAGACAGTTGCTTTCAGTCACAGTTTTGTTTGGGAATTGGTAAAACTTGGTGGGAAGTGGCAAATTCCTGTTTGGTGGGTGGGATGAGCAGGGCCAAGCTTTGTGTTTTTGTTCAACCTCCTGCAGCCGAGGCCCATCGGTGTGAACCATCAAGTACTTAGCTCAGAGCAGCTGTAGTCGGAACAAGCTGTAATCCTGTGCCACAGGGTCCTTTTTGATGCCATTTCATCTACCATAACCAAAACAGTCTGAGTTTTCTGTATTGTTTCTCCTGTTCCTCGCTAAAACTCTCTCTTCTCAGGGGCAAAGTCTTCTTATCATCAAGCACAGCTCAGACACGTTCAGACACCATGTTTGTTATGGTCATTAATACTGATTTTCGTCTGTGATTCAGTCTGGCAGTGTTGGGGCAGAAGCAAACTTGGAACCAGAACTTTGCTGTTTCTTGCCATCAATTCTGTTCACAGCTGCCTAACCTTCACAAAATAATTAACATTGAATCCACGAATTGTTACTGTTCCAAGGCCTGTGTTTACTTCTCTTTAGATGAAAGGATATACTGGCTGATGCGAACTTCTCTCTGTTATGCATTCTTATCAGTACCATCCCTCATACAAGCACAGACAATGTGTCACTGCTTTGTATTTCAGCTTTACGGCCTGCGTTAGAATCTGATGCCTAAAGTTTATTAAGTTAGACTTTGTCAAGGAAGATGAGATTTGTAGGAGGATTTGGAGGGGTAAGCTCAGCAGGATAATACTGCGACTTTGCATCTGTGGACTGAACAATCACAAGCACTTTCCTTCATACTATTTTCAGTTATCAGTTTCTTCCAAACTGAGGCAATTCAGTACAGTCACTCAAAGACTCTCTATTTGCCCTTGCAAGTAAAAATTCCCATCCCCATGTGCATACTCAGAAAACTCAGATGAAATGTAGACTAACTGGAGTCCAACATCCAGGCATTTCATTCATCCAGAGTTACAGACTGAAGATGTCCTCCTGAGATTGTCCAGATACAGCACAATTTGATCAGTGGAAGCTCTCAAAGTTGCCTGTTGCAATTATACTCCTCACATACGTAATATTCTTGTAGCTTGTACTGGGTAGACAGAACTACTTGAAAATGTAAGGAGGTCTCAAGGATGAGTCTTGATTGTTTGCATTTGTACTGCTTAATGGGTGAGTATCTTCTTGAACCTTTGCCCTGCAGAAAATCCATTCGCTTGCACAAAACATGACTGTGTTTCATGCCCATTGACAGAGCTGTGGTTTATTTGTTTGTCACAGACACGGAGACCTGTGATTATGGCTGGCACAAGTTCCAAGGACAGTGCTACAAATACTTTGCCCATCGGCGTACGTGGGACACAGCCGAAAGAGAATGCCGTCTCCAGGGAGCACACTTGACAAGCATCTTGTCTCACGAGGAACAGATCTTTGTGAACCGTATGTACTGTTAGGATTCCTCTAAACAAGAGTGGGCACTGACTCTTCAGAGCTAGTGAAATATCCTCCTGATTACTCAGCTTTTACATCTCTGTCTTAAAATATAATTTTAGAATGTTTAAAAGGCACACTCTGCATCCTTCATGATTATGTTTGCAATGCAAGTTCCCTATCACTAGGAAGTTATTTTTTGTTACATAGAAAATACTTTGGTTTTGAGGAAGAGAACTGGAGCTATTGTTTTGGCATTGGAAATTGATGAAACACTTTTTTCTGGAGGCTTTAGATTATTTGTGTGCATGACATCAATGACCATGCCACCATATGTTGTACTAAGTAGGCATAAAGAAATAGTTCCTGCATGTTGTGTCACACAGTCTAGACAGCACTGGTCACAGCCTAACCAAAACTTGAAAAATGTACATTAGAATATGTGCTTTTATTATTTTAATCTTTTTTTTTTAATTTGTTTTTCTCTCCCCTTCATATGTACTCAGGTAGGAAACTGATCTATTTTCTTTGAGAGATGCCATCAGGAGGGAAGAGACAAGACTGTTTAAAAATGTTGGATGAGAATCTGCATTTTTATAGACGTCCCAAGTTAAAATTGAAAAGCTGAAAACCAGCCTGTAAATAGTTGTTTGCATAATGATTAGAAGAATCTTAAGAACAGGATGTCTGATTCATTCTGTGCAAATTCTTTTTATTTTCTTTGGTGAAATCTCTTCCTTTTATGGGAAGGTTAATAAAAATATCCTTCTGGTTCCTTAGGTATTGGGCATGACTACCAGTGGATTGGTCTCAATGACAAGATGTTTGAGCGTGATTTCCGCTGGACTGATGGTAGCCCACTGGTAAGATGCCTTTGAAATGAAATCACTCATTCATTTCTTTTTGTGGTGGCTTATCAAATTCCAACCAGCAATGAGGGAAGCTGCATGAAAAAATGCGGTCACTAAATATGCACTCAAGAAAACAGCCAGCAAACTCTTGTTTCAGGATAACTACTGTTTTGTGGTATAGTTCTAAAATCTTATTCTTAGTTATTATTACTGTACCTGCAGGAGCTCTCAAAGCTTCCCAACAGAAAAACTCAAAAACTCTGAGACTGTAATTTATGGGTCTCTGCTGGAGCTGGTTTGTGCTCCTCTGCTGTTATACAAGGACATATGTGGCAATTCTCTTTTCCCTTCTGTATATGGAGCAGGATGCGTTTTTTGGATGAGGATATGGCATTCAAGCTCTTGCTGTTTGCTGGGTCTGTGAGAGTCCACAAAAAAGCCTCTCGAGTACTGGAGATTGTTCTAGTCTGTATGGCAGCTCTACAGCTAGGCTGGAGAAACAGCCATTTCTAGGTGGTTCAGGAGGCCTGTAACCAATAATCGGTCCATAAAATTTTAAGATGCTGTTGATACTTCTTATTGCCTTAAAACAAGGAAAATCAGCAGAAGGAGATGAGAATACTCTTTACCCACCCTTAACTATCCTAAATCAAAGTTCTGACGGAAATGATTGAGTTCTTTCCAATGCAAAACAGTCTCTTTTGTAGAAGACACAGGTGATTTATTGATGTTTAACACCCACTGAAGAACATTACTTTAAAAAAAAAAAATAAATTGATTATGCTTATTATTTTCCTTTCCAGTTGTGAATTCTTAAAGCAGAAAGCATCTGGACATACATATGCACATGCACACACATGCATACAATGACAATTGCTGCATACCATGCAGCTGCAACTTATGTAGAAAGACACCTGGGGCAAAGCAGGCTTCGTTTATTTACATTTTGTGAAATAACCAGAGGTTTAAAGTCCTCTGAAATGACTTGTAAATAAGCCATTTCTTGGGGAAACTACCACATGTGGCAGGCGACAGCACAGGGGGAAGGTGACAAAACTTTTCCTTGCCTGACTGATCACTCAGCGCATCCAATGAACCCATTTGTGCCTGGAGCCGCGAAGTCTTGCAGGATCTAAGCAGAAGAGTTTCATTTCATTGTTTTCTGTTGCCTATCCTCATGTATTTTTTGAAACACGAGATGTGCCGTGGACTTGAACTCTACTCATTCTGGATGAGTTTATTCTGTCTCCTGATGTGGCTTCCTACACATCACTGACAGTAACGGGCACTCTCTGAGGGTGGTTTAGGTTTGGTTGGAGCTCAGGGGTAGTCCGGATTGTCTGCAGTGCTTGGTCAAGGAGCCTACACTGCACTAAGCGATCTAAAGTTAGGTGAGATAAATTTGGGTGTAAATGTTGTGCCTGAAGGGGCAGCCCACCTTACACTGAGAAGCGTAAAACAAGATACATGCTTGTATATTCCAAAGACAAATTTGGTATGTCACTGAATGACAAATTCAAGAAAATAAAATTAGGGCTGAAATTCTATTAGTTAATTCAGGTTACTGAGCAAATGTGGTATTACATTTTTACTTTACTTTTCAGTTTTAGGAAATGAAGATATTCTAGGAATAGAATAAGACCATCTGTCCAACAGATTTCTCTTTTGATTGATCTTTTTTCCACTTTATTTTTCTTTTCTTTTTAACAACTTCCCTCTGTCTCTTCCTTCGGAAACGATTTAGGTGTCTCTTGAAATCATTTATGTTCATTGCTTCAATAGCTTTCCCTCATAACTTACTCCATATGGTTTCTGGATACCATGGTTCTGACCAGCTTCCTCATTTGCTCCTTTTCCCTAGTTTTTAACTTATTTTTCATACTTTCTAACCACTCTTCTGGTTACAGTGATTTATTACTTCTCTAGTAATTAATAGGAAAAATAACATAATTAAATATGTACATCAAATGTACTTCCCTGATGATGTCTTAAAATTCAAGTGAATTTGAATACTGTGTAGGTCAAAAAATTACATCGTTTATGTATTTGGAGGTGAACAGGAGTCATGATAGCATTAAATGCATTAATATAATTTGTGATCATAAAAATCAGCATTATTAAATCAACACTCGGGTTCTAACTTGAATTTCTGAGATTAAAGGTAGCTCTTGCATATAGCCAAAATCTAAATAGCCTTGTGTTTTACATATCAGGGTGCATCTGTAATTCAGCTGTTTCTAACTTTGTTGCCAAGCTCCATGCTTTCTCCAAGATAATATTATCTGTCTACAATTCTATTCAACACTTCTGGCATAGAGAAAAACTTGTCAAGTCTGCTGAGGATTCCCCTGATATAAAGGTTTTGTTGGAGATACTATCAGAAAAGTCACTCCACCTCTTAGATAGACTGTCCATCTACAAGTGATGTACATTCATCTTTTCTTGATACTTGTTTGAATTTTCTGCCAGTAACAGCTCAGTTTAATCTGAAAATCATGCTTAAATGATTTTATTAGATTTTGGATTTAAAAAAACACAAAACAGTTCTGATGTTTGGTAGACTTAGAAAAAGCAAATAGCAGCAGCAGCAAGACATGTTGAGGATGGAATTGAGGGACCAATGCTGCTGTTAACCCAGTACTGCTCAGATGACATAGCCGTAATACATTTTAGTGATTTCTCTTTCACGTGAGTTTTCTTTCTGAACCAAAAAGCCCTCCTAGAATTGGGAATCATTGAAGCACAGGCCCTACCATTGGAGATTATGGAACAAGGTTTGGATTACTTTAGTACTCATTTTCCATGGACATAAGGAAACCCACAACTTCAGTATGTTGAAAGGAACTCTTTTGCCAGGTGTTGGCATGTATTTTATTAGTAATTTCTGGAAAAGGGATCAAGTATTTTTTTTTTACTTTGCACCTAAAAGGTATTTCAACCAATGGGTTCAATGGAAGGAAGTCAGTCATTTTTTGACATTTTCAGCTCATGCCAAGTTGTGTTTTTCCAGATTTTTTGAACTGAAGCTAAGTCCTAGCCACTGTTAAATATGATAGTTGGACAAAGCATGTACAGGAGTTCCTTAGTGAAAACCGACAAACATACTTCCAAATGCACTGTGCATTGTCTCTAACTGCAGTGAGCTATTGAATACACATGCCCACCTTAGCTATTTTTTGTGGACTTCATAGTCATATGCAGCCCTGGCATATAAACCTTGTGCTGTCTCACTTCCATTGCCTCCCAAAATACAGGAGGGGAGAGGGCTTTTTTTGAGGACACTTCTTGTCAGTTCATGAGAGTGATAAATTCACCTTTGTCATTGGCCTAGTAATGTGAGAAAACTTAAATTCTCAGTTGAGGTTGCAGAAATTTCCCTTCTCTCATGAATCAGTGGATGTTAGTTTCTCCAATCAAATGAGCAAGGGTCATTCGGTTTTCTGTGCAGTGTCCAGATGAGATCAGTTCATGTCCCTTCAGTGGGATGGGAGGTTTGTTTGTTTTTTAAGGCATGTGGGGCAATGTGACCAAGATTTTTAAAAAGCGAGCATACAGAATTAAGGTTCTTATGGTGAAAGCTATGCTGAACCTGGAGTACCCTTGACAGGCTCATAGCCCTGTTGAAAACAGGGGCAATTATTTAGGTGCCTAGTAGTGGACTAACTATAGTCAGCCACTTTTGATATCCTGGAATTCTCTTTTTAACTCCTATAGAAAACACTGGCTGTTAGCAATTGATCAAAAACAGCAGCAGTCAAAAAAGGCCCTCAGTTCCTGTGCAGGTTTTTCACATATCAACTGTAATTACATTTAACTTCCAAAAATAATGCCAGTAAGTCTTGGAATAGATCAAGAGTTATCTTGTAAATACATGCTCTGATTCTTAGAGTTCCTCAAGGAAAATGTTGGCATCTTGATTAACGAAGCAAGTACAATTGGATTCAATGAGAAAAAAAGGAACAGTATTTAAAAAATTCTGGTCCACATGACATTAGTCCATATCCGTTTTGAGTCTACCTGTTTTCTTTTAAGACAAGGAAAATTATCCTAACAGAAAAGGGTGCATTCCTAAATCATAGTATTGCAGACTTTATTCCTGCAAACAGAACTTGAGGAGGCTTTTTGATCTCCTCTCTGAAGTGTTTGTTGCATAGTTATCTGTGTGCTTTTAGGGGATTTTGGCAGGTTTATTTCTTAACTGTAATCGGGTTTTTAATTTAAAACTGCTCAGGAGTTTTCTGCCTTTCAGGCAAAACGGCATAATCTTATGCAATGGATTGGGTTGTATAGATAAAGTCTCACCATCGCCTGGTAAAAGACACCTTTTCAGTGTGCTGTACCCACTACGTCCCAAACACAGACTGGGCTTGAAAAGTGCAAAATAACATGAATAAAGTAATTGGGTTATATCTCTCATCCCCTAAAGTTTAATTGTCAGTCCAGGTGCTACTTTTCCATAAACAAATTGTTTTCCAGGTAACTGGTATTTCATTATACTGGATTTTATTGGCCAGGCCAATTTACTTATATTTGTCCTTTTTTTTTGCAATTTCTTTAAAAAACAAATTGGAACCTTCTTGGCTAAGGTCAGAGCACGTCTTCAAAGGAGCTCCTTGGCTAAGCTTAGGCTACCTTGTCCAATATGCAGAACCAAATAAGCTATAATTATACTGAACTGTGGAATCCATTGCTGGCCACCCATATGAATCTAATTTATTCCGATTTGCTGTACTGTATCCGTATGGCAGGAAGCAGTCTTTTCTCATCTACAGCGTGTTCCTGCTCCTTCTCTTTTTTTCCTTTTCTTTTTTCTGTTTTTGAAAGAAAGACTTTTTCAGTGTTTCCGGTAGTTGGGAGAGGTGGATTCGTGTTCTGGAGCTGTTGGGCCACATGAAAAACACTTTGGCAGCAGCAACCGTTCCCTTTTTTTTTATCAAAAGAGTTGATTGCAGCTGTGTTAGTGCAACATAAAAAGTGAAAGCTCTTTCAGGAAACCCAGATCCTCACTTGTG